CAAGCCGGTACCTCTCTGCTCACGGGCGTGCAGAAGGAGCGAGTCTCGCCCGTTTCACCACATCCCGGTTTTGTTTTCCAGCAATGCTCACAAACCGTGCCAGGGAGGAGGCAATATCCCCACCCATGCTTTTCACCGCGGCACACAGATCTTCTGTCCGAACTAGAGTTTTCTCTCTCTCTCTCTCTCTCTCTTTCTCTGTCGCTCACTCATTTTCTCTCTATGTTTCTCCCTCTCTCTCTCTGTCTCTCTCTCTCTCTCTCTCTGTCTCTCTCTCTCTCTCTCTCTCTCTCTCTCTCACTGATTCACTCACTCACAAGCTTGTTAGAAGACCAGGAACAAACTTATGGGTCCGTTCGTGTAGTCTTTTGTGGCCGTTCTGGGGCGCGCTAGGAGCAAATTCGGCTGTCCTGCACGCTATGAGAACCACATATGTGAGCCTTTTTTTTTCATACCAAACATGAACAAATGTAAGCCATGAGTTGCACCGCTTGGAGGCCTTTTTGAAGGTACGCCTGGTGCCCAAGTTGAGCATATTGTGCTGTCTTGAAGACAACTGGTGAGCATATTGGATCTATATTTGGCCGTCTTGGCCTTGGCGCCACATCTGAAGGGTCGTCGAAACAGCACCCCCGAAGCTGCCCACGCGGACCCTGGGACTCCCTGGGGGCGAAGGTGGGCCTGCCAGGGTGGGGGACCTTGGAAAAGTGTGCTACCCCCGGGACTTGGGGGCACGGACGCGATAAGCATGGGATAGTTTTGAACGCATGGGCGGGGCCTGGTCAGCGTTTCTTTAAACTGGGCTTCGACATTTGGCCGAAGGAGGAGGAAGAGAAGGAGGAATTGGAGAGGAGGAGGAGGAGGAGGAGGAGGAGGAGGAGGAGGAGGAGGAGGAGGAGGAGGAGGAGGAGGAGGAGGAGGAGGAGGGAGGAGGAGGAGGAGGAGGAGGAGGAGGAGGAGGAGGAGGAGGAGGAGGAGGAGGAGGGGTGGGATCTGGGTCTGGGCGGGTGCTTAGTCGATCTGCTCTTACCAGTCGCACCAGCAGATTGGGGGGAAGGGGCCCTAACCAGTCGCCGACAGCAGCCGCCAAGAGCAGCCTAGATCTGGTCTCTGGAGGGGGGGAGGGGGGAGGCCGAGGGCCCACGCGGATCGGCGAAACTGTGAATTCGCTGGCCCAACGGGCCAGAGGCGCGCTAAGATCTCCGGCAACTACTTAACAATATTTCTAGTTCGCGCGCGCGGGGCGGCCCCAGGCCCCGGACGAAAAGTACCCCGGCGGACCCCCCGGCCGGGTTCCGGCCGGGTCCCGGGCGACCCCCTGGGGGGAGGCTATTTCTCGCCAGCCCTCACGAGGATCGCGGCCCCCGAGGGGGGGACTGCAATCGACTACCCCCCCTCCCGCCCCGAGGGGCCCCCAAGAGCCCCCCAAGAGGCCCCAGGGGAGCCAATACGCCGCCAAGGAGCCCCAAGACGCTCCCAGGAAGCCCCCAAGAAGCCCCCAAGACGGCCCCAAGAGGCCCCAAATAGCGCTCCAGGGCCGGCGGAATGAGCGAAGCGATTATAAATCAGAGGACGGAGACCATCCCCAGGTCGCCGCCCCACCGGGAACGGCGCGTGAGATCCCCGCCGCGTGGTCTGCACGAACTCAGTCCCCTCAATCTGCGCACACACGAACTCCTGGTACCAATACCCAGTCCTCAGAGCCCTTGCAACCCCTCCTGGGGTCCTCCCCGCGGCCTGCTCATTCCGCCGGCCTGGGGGCCACAGCTGCGGAATGAGCGCTCTTTGGCCATCATTCTCGCTTCAGAACACACCTCGTTGGAAACGTTCGTCTTCTAAGCGCCGCCGGCCTCTCTCCGAGGCCTCTCCGGGAGCTCACTGACTCGATTTTGGAGGCCTCCAGACGCTCTCCTGGGGCGATCTTGGCCGTCCTCCAAGCCATTTTGGTCCAGCCTGGCAGCCCGCCTACCTCTCCTCGGCCCACTTCGACTGCAAAAAACCAACACGCAAAAAACCTTGTAAACCACATATGATTATGTCCATTCTGGCCTTGTCGAGCCTCTATTCTTGCCTCGTTTCGAGCTCACGTGCGTCTTCGCGGGCTCTTGGAAGCACGTTGGAATCAGCGGGCGCTCTCTGCGGCTGTCCTCCACGCCTCCCGACCCCGGCCTGGGCCGTCTGGCAGCATTTGGGTTTTTGGGGGGGGGGCCGTCCTGGGCCGTCCCCGGGATCCCTTTTGAGGCCCCCAGACTAACTCGTATCTCGTTTGTACGCAGCTCCGTATGCCTCTTCCTTTCGTCCACACTTTTGCACACCCTCAGGCGTCCTTTGTAAATCATTGTCAGGCTCTCTTAGGGCTTTCTGGCGTCTTTTTTTAATCATTGTCCAGCTCTCTTGGGGCTTTCTGAGAGCCTTTAAGACCCCATTGTTGTATTTTTCCAGGCCCTCTGAGACCTTATTGTCCATTCTGGCGTCTTTTTTAGGCCATTGTCCGGCTCTCTTGGGGCTTTCTGAAAGGAGGTACACACCCACAGCACGAAGAGATTACTGCCAAAGCCCACCCAAAGCTGACTGAACACCCCCGCTACATCCCGATTTGCCCCCCACGCAACCTCCGCGTTCCAAAAAAAAGTGGGGCGGCGGTGTCTGCCCCCTCAGGGGCGTTCAATTAAATAAGATTACGGAGACCATCCCCAGGTCGCTTGGGTCGGGTGTTGCTAGAAGTACCCCTGGCCCAAGGTGCCCCCAGCTTTTCGCTCCATGCTGGAGCCCCTGGGGCCCTCTGGGCCTCGTGACGGTTGCTCTGGAGGCCGTTTGGGCTACCCCAAAAATCCTGGTAGCACCTCGGCCCAGGGGCAATTCTAGCAACACCCGATGGGTGACGGCCCCGTGAGCCCGAAGCTCGGGGGCGTCCGGATTTCGAAGAGCGCGGGGAAGGCGACGCTGCCAGGACCCTCTGGCGGCGCGCACGAGGGGGCAGTGCGAAAGGGGGAGGCCCTCTACGAAGCCCAGAGCACTTCAAAAAAGGCGGGGGGCGTTTTTCGGAAGCCCTCCCAGCTTCCAAGAGGCCTTCTCGAAGCCCCAGGGCCCCTTCTGAGAAGGCCCCTGCCATCTCAGAAGCCCCCCCACCGCGCTCTTAGAAGTCCAGTATGGGGTCTACTGCAGAATGTACTTTCCCCAAAACTGATCTCCCCGTCGAGCCTGCGAGAAATACGTAGAACGCTCCGCAGGTTAATCATTATACGCATTGTTTGTCGCAGACCCGACGGATAACAAATAGCTTGGCGAAGGACCCAACCACATGCAGTTGTGAGTCCCTTTTGGGCCAAGAAGCATGCGAGGGGTGTGCCAAGATGGGTGCGGCGGGCGCATGCGAACGCAGCCACTGGGGCCTTCGGTGGAGCTCCCTACAAGGCCACGAAAAGTATGAGGGGTGTGCCGACATGGGTGCGGCGGGCGCATGCAAACGCTGGCACTGGGGCCTTCAGCGGAGCTCCCTCCACGAAACGTGTGAGGGGTGTGCCGAAATGGGTGCGGCGGGCGCATGCGAACACAGCCACTGGGGCCTTAAAGTGTGAGGGGTGTGCCGAAAAGGTTGTGGCGGACGCATGCGAACGCAGCCACTGGGGCCTTCAATGGAGCTCCCTACGGGGCAACGAAACGTGTGAGGGGTGTGCCGTAAAGGGTGCAGCGGGCGCATGCGAACGCAGCCACTGGGGCATTCGCGGGAGCTCCCTACGGGGCCACGAAAAGTGTGAGGAGTGTGCCGAAATGGGTGCGGCGGGCGCATGCGAACGCAGCCACTGGGGCCTTCAGTGGAGCCCCCTGCGGGGCCACAAAACGTGTGAGGGGTGTGCCGAATTGGTGCGGCGGGCGCATGCGAACGTAGCCACTGCTGCATTTGGAGGAGCTCCCTATGGGGCCACGAAACGTGGCCTTCAGTGGAGCTCCGTACAAGGCCACGAAACGTGTGAGCGGTGTGCCGAGAACGGTGCGGCGGGCGCATACGAACGCAGCCACTGGGGCATTCGTGCGAGCTCCCCATGGGGCCACGAAAAGTGTGAGGGGTGTGCCGAAATGGGTGCGGCGGGCGCATGCGAACGCTGCCACTTGGGCCTTCAGCGGAGCTCCCTACGGGGCCATGAAACGTGTGAGGGGTGTGCCGAAATGGGTGCGGTGGGCGCATGCGAACGCTGGCATTTGGGTCTTCGGTAAGGCTCTCTATGGGGCCACGAAACGTGAGGGGTGTGCCAAAATGGGTGCGGCGGGCGCATGCGAACGCTGACACTTTGGCCTTCAGTGGGGCTCCCTTCGGCGGTGAACAAACCTCCATTTAGTAAACCACCCTTTAGTGAAAACGGCCTAGGACCGAAACCGACGGACCTGGACCTGCAATAATGACTGCCGCGACTCCCTCTCGCGAACCGAAAACGGCCAATTCGCTAATCGACGTGTCAGGGTAGGAGGTCTATCAACCTCCGATCCCTGTGGGGCCACGAAACGTGTGAGGGGTGTGCCAAAGTGAGGGGGGGGACTGGAGGAGGGGGGAGGGAGGGGGAGGAGGAAGGAAGGACGAACGCGGGGACCGTCTCTTCAAAACGAGGACCCAACACCACAGGATGGTGGGGAAAAACTGGGGTACAGCAATTCTGTAGTCGATCCCCTACTCGAAGAAGATCACCCCACTCGCGCCAACCCGCACCGACCTTGCAGACGTGCTGCAGCGCATTTTTGCGTGGATACATGTCAGTGCAACTGAAACGGCGAGAGAAAAACGACGTGAATTTCATGTGGATGTTTTCTAGTCTCCATTCCTGGCCCAAAAAAAAACACACACCAAATCCATTTCGAAATCCGGAACGCAATGCTCCAGGACAGTTCGGGCCCATCCCATTGTGTTCCGAACGACATACGCTCTGCGATGTTGGCACCATGACCCTCGTGCGCGCCGCCGAGCTCTTCCGCGACGCTGCAAGCACGGGTTCCCGCCCCCCGCCGGCCTGCAGCCAGTCTGGCACGCCTGACTTCGGGCCCTCCTCGTCCCACATCGACTTCCTCTTGCGCTTGCCCCCGCCGGCGTCGCCTGGCTTGGGGGGAGGGCGGGCCTGTAAGGGAACGAACAACGACGTACACATCAAAACTCGGAGGTACGCGCTGATTTCGCGGATCGGCGCTGGGGGCCCCCCTGGCGGCGCCTCCGGTGCCGCCCCTGGCGCGCTCCGCGCGCCAGGGATGGGGGCCCAAGCGCGGATCCAGGAAATCCGCGCGGGCCTCCGAGTTTTTATGTTTGTGTCCTTTTTGCGTTCCCCCAGGGCGGCTTTGGACGCCCGACGTGGGTGCGGAGACAGAAGGCACGATGCCCAGCAGCACGTGCTGTCCAAGACCGGCAGCGGCCGCCTCTGGGCAGGGCGGCCTGCAGTCTCAAGTGGACCACGCCCGCGGCGACACCAGCAGCGAGCCCTGCTCACAATGAACAGGAAGTTCTGTCGGACTTCGTACCCTCCGGTGGCAACCCATGGGAGCCTCCCATACCGTCTGGCTGGCTCTCGCCAGTCGACGCCGCTCGACGCCAGTCGACGAGAAATCGACGCCGACCGACGCCAAACCGATCGACGCCCGTCGGCGCCAAATCGACGCCCGTCGACGCTAAGTCGATACTAGTCGCCATCCTGTCGTTCTGCGTACCCCTCCTCGGGAGCGGCCAAGAGGGGGGCGTCCAAGAGGGGGGGGGGGGGGGGCGCAAGTCATGGGCGGCGGCACGTGCGCGGCCCAGGGGGGGGGGCCGGGGACGTGGTGAAGCAAGAAGAGGGGCCCTGAAATCTGGGGAGGTATCATGGCCCCCGCCATGGTATCCACCCCCCCCCTAGTCTTAGGTCGGGCGTGTCCCTCTACAGGGGGATTCTGGGCGAAAAAAGAGATACTCAAAAACTGCCCCCCAAATAGTCAAAAAAACAATCAAAAAATACTCCCCTGACTATTTTTTGACTATTTTTGAACATTCCTCCTGTAGAGGGACAAGCCCGACTTAACCCTAGTCATCGCCCCCCTCTTGGCCGCCCCCGAGGGCTACGCCACCACCACGCACGGCCGGGGGCCGTCCGGCGGCGACTGCGGCGGGGCACGCAGGGCGGGCGCGCGCTTGCGCTCGTCGTCCCCGCCTTCCTGCGCCGCCGCCACTGCTCGGCCCTCCTCCCCCCTCCCCTCCCGCGGGCTGCCTTCAGCGCCAGCTCCCGCAGGCGCGTCGCCTGCCCCACCGTCGTCGTCGTCGTCGTCGTCGTCGTCGTCGTCATCGTCGTCGTCGTCGTCGTCGTCGTCGTCGTCGTCGTCGTCGTCGTCGTCGTCGTCGTCGTCGTCGTCGTCGTCGTCGTCGTCGTCGTCGTCGTCGTCGTCGTCGTCGTCGTCCAACGTCGTCGTCGTCGGTCGTCGTCGGTTGTCGTCGTCGGTCGTCGTCGTCGTCCGTCGTCGATCATCCGTCGTCGTCAGTCCTCCGTCGTCGTCGTCGGTCGTCAAGCGTCGTACGTCGTTGCATGCGGCACGGCAGCGGCTGCGCGCCCATGCTCGGAATGCGTCATTTGGCGAGGAAGCTAGCGCACGTGCCTCCGCTCAGCACAGTCCTGAGCATGTCACGCTTTGCAGAATCCGAGGCGCCCGCGGGGCTCTACTACACCCTGGTATGCTCCAGCTCCAGACCGACCGGCTGAACTGCACAGCAAAAGAAGTCAGGCATGCAGACACACGTCCGAAACGGATTGGCCGAACTCCCGCGAAGCTTCATCCGAAACAGGGCCATCCGAAACCCACATGGCTGGCCGAATATGCTGCGCTTCTTACCTGGGGTGTTCGTAAAAGACATGGGCGCGGCCGTGGGAATAACGTGCATGTGTGGGCTCACAAGATATGGGCCTTCAATGGTTCAACGCCACGGCATTCAACATCATATATCTTTGCGCGCCCGAACCTACGCACGTGTTGGGTGGACTATTTCATGCTTGCAATAATGTTGGTGGAGACGCGGCCGCAACAAAGAGTCCCCTTCGAAATCTCCTGTGTAGAGGTGCATTACGTCCAGAACAGGTCGCCCTGCTCACGTCACGAGTGACAATATCGCCCATCCCTGGACAGTTTAGCACTCTGCCAATCTCGGTCGTGCGACTGCCCACTGAACACTGCATTTGGACATGTCGCCGATCACTCGCCCATGCGAAAAAACATATACCTCATGGGGCGGTTCGTCACCGGTCACGACGGTCCGCTGCATATGACATGGCGACTGGTCGCACACAGTCTCGCCTCTTGGCTTGACTCGCTCTCACCACCCAGGGTTTTGCAGATCTTGCCCAGGCACACAGTGGTTTCAAGTAAATCCGCCACCGTGCCGTAGGCACTGAGTGGAATATCCTCGAGTTCCTGAGAGTTTCTGTATTGGGTAATATGCACACTCTAAGGGCCTCAGAGATCCAATTGCCGGATCTCCTACAGAGCTCCAAGACGTGCCAAGAAGACCCAGAGGAGGCCCCGATGCCCAAGAGAGCTGCAAGATTGCCCAAGACGGCCTCCAGACGGCCCAAGAGGCCACCAAGACGCCCGAAGAGGGCTCCAGGATGAGCACCAATAAATCCAAAAAGACCAGAACCAGTGAACCCATCAGGTTTCCCAAACATTGATTGCACTTAACGGGTCTTACTTGCGTTGCTACGTAACTGGATGAATTCGCGTGGGTGTCGGCTGGATGAAGGGGCCATGGGACACACAAATAGATAAACACACAAATAACAGGTTTCCCTATATTTTCCCATATTCTCTGGGCTTCCGTCTTCCCCCCCACTTCCCATATTTCCCCATCGTTTCTGGGGATCGACGATTCCCCATATTTTCCTATACTCTCTGGGTTTCCGTCTTCCCCCCCACTTCCCATATCTCCCCATCGTTTCTGGGGATCGACGATTCATTGTGTCTGTGTGTTCTTGTCCCCTCCGGACTCTGGCCGGCGCCCGCCCGCGGGCGCCCCGAGGGTCGCCGCCCGTGGACACACCTTGTGGGCGCCTCGTGCGCCGGCCCTCGCCTTTCAGCTGCCCCGCCGTGGCTTTGCGGCCTGCACCGCAGAGGCCGAACGCACTGCACCATGGGAGGAGGCAGCTGCTGGGAGTGACTACCTACCAGACCACCCCAGCCCAACCCGAAGACCCGAACTTCGGGTTGGGGGGGGCGTTACGGGTTCCATGTGTGTTTTCTCGATGTTCCCCGACCCCCCCCCCCCCCCACTGGAAATCGAGGGTAAATCTGAGCCTTCGGGTTGGGTTGGGGTGGTTTGGTGGGTGGTGACGCACTGCACCACATCAGGAGGCAACTGCTGGGAGAGGTTCTCGTCGGAGAGATTCAGGAGGATTAAGCCCCATGTGGGAGCTATTACGCCGAAGTGGGCCTCGGATTAAGCGGCAGTAAGCCGGATTAAGCGGGATTAAGCGGGATTAAGCCGGATCAAGCTGGAGTAAGCCGGACTTCGGACCAGTGCAAAATCAGAACTTGACCTCCCAGGAGTTGCATCCCAAACCACATAAGTTGCAGCTTGCACCAAATTTCTGTCACCAAATCGTTTGCACCACATAGCTTGCCCCGAATAGCTTGCACCACAAATACTGCATCACAGATATTCCGTTGTTCAAAAGTGCTAAGCTCTAACCCCCCTCCCCCCTGACATCTCGGTACGCCTCCACATACACCCCACACCCCTCCTCCCCCCCCCCCAAAAAAAACATGCAAAAAACGACCATGAGATGTACATCAGTTGATCTAATGAGTGCATGTTGCATCAGTCAATGCCTACGAAATCATACCATGCGGGCAACATTCGCGCGCCCCCTCGCTCGCATGCCAAAGTCATTCAAACAAAAACAGCCTCCTGACAAAATCAAGACACAGCTAATATAACAAGATCTACGAAACAACATGTTGTTTCTAGATTTCAGCGCGCGCACACTGCGAAAGCATAAGAAATGCTGTCTGGTCCTTCTTCCAAATGAGAGCACGTGGGCCTCACGCGCGCGCATGCCGAAAGCACTCAACAACCGTCGCTGCCAAAAAAATGGGCCACACACGTGCGCGCGCTTCTGCGCGCGCACGTCGACAGGCTGCCAAAAACAATGGTTCTCAGAGCATGTCAACACACATGTTTCCAAGCACATCCGAAAAGCCGCCAAGCGTTCTTCAATCAAAACAGTGCCAGAAAATCCACCGACCCATTATGGGTCTCTAGGCGTGTGAGACTCGTCCCCCCGATGATCCCCCCCCCACTGGGGCCCCAAACCGGAAACTTGACCCCCACACCGGCCGAGGACGACCGCCGAGTGAACTCACCAGGGGATCCAGCCCTCTCCGGGAGGCTCCAAGACGGCTCCTCACACTGCACGACGGCCAAGACGGCTCTCATAGGGCCCCCAGAGACTTCAGCGGGCACCTAGATGGCCAGAAGACTCCATAAGAAGCCTCCAAGACGCTTCCAAAGGGCTCCAAGAGGACCCCCAAGAAGGCCCGAAGAAAACTCTTAACATTCCATTTGGAACACTGACATTTTCAGCACATTCGCCTTTTCATGCTTGACGCTTTCTAGAGGGCCTAAGAGGCCTCCCAAGTCGCCCCCGAACGGCCCAAGAGGCCCCCAAAAGAGACCCACAAGGTCCCCAGCACCGCCTGAAGATGGCCCAAGGGGCCCCCAGAGAAAGCTTCAAGACTCTTGAAATGCCACCCCAGATGGTCCCATCATGCTCCGAACTGGCCAAAGACGTCCCAAGGATCGCCCCAAGACGCTCTCAGGAGCCCACATACCCCTCCAAGAGGCCTCCCGCCTCCCGGGTTTCTCGAGTGGCCCCAAAACTGGCTCCGAAGCCCCCGAGCGGCCTCCAAAGACATCCCAACGAACCTGCCCGAGGCTCTTTCTCCAGAACCCTGGGTCGGTTGCGCAATGGGCAGCAGAAGTCTCACAACGACCAGCTGGAGCGGGCTGACTCTCCAACGGCTTACACAGAAGCCATGGTAAGTGGTCCCGCGGAAAAAAAAGACAACAAGGGGTCGGCGGATGCGGCGTAAGCCTGCAGATAATCTGCGTGTCTGCACTCTCGAGCACGCGGGCACACAGGTACTCATCATCCTCACAAACACCATCGTCGTCGTCATCATCACTCCACCACCACCACCACCACCACCACCACCACCATCATCATCATCATCATCATCATCATCATCATCAGCATCATCATCATCATCATCATCATCATCATCATCATCAGCAGCAGCAGCAGCAGCATCAGCATCATCATCATCATCATCATCATCATCACCACCACCACCACCACCACCATCATCATCATCATCATCATCATCATCATCATCGTCATCACCCTCATCAGCAGCATCATGAGCATCGTCATCATCACAGCCATCACCACCACCTCTATCCCCATCGTCACCATCATGCACATCATCATCAGCATCAGTATCGTTGTCATCATCATCAGGATCACAATCGGTATCCATCATCACCATCATCATCATTATCGTCACCATCGTCGTCGTCATCATCAGAATCATCATTATACAATCATCATCATCATCTTCAGCAGCAGCAGCATCATCATTATCATTGCCGCCAGCGGCGTCATTGCCATCGTCATCGTCATCATCAGAGTCGTAGCGTCGTCCTCATCGTCGTCACCATCATGACCACCGTCGGCGTAATCGGCATCGTCGATGTCGTCGCCCTTGTCATATTTATCGCAACCGCCATCGCTAGTGTCATTATAAGCATCATCATCAGCATCATCATCGTCGTCGTCACCAATGGCGTCGCGACCATCATCAGCGCCCGCCCGCGTCCTCCTCCTCCTCCTCCTCCTCCTCCGCCTCCTCCTCCTCATCCCCCCTCTCATCCTCTTATCTCCTTCTCTTTCTCTCCCCACAACGACCAGGGGAACACCTAGTGCAAAATACCCTGGCCAGACCTTGGCACAACGTTTGGCCGCACGGGCGGCCCGGGCGTTTCGTGAAGGCAGGGGGCGGCGGTGGTTCGCAGTAGCCGCCTTCGATATCCTCACTCCTCCCTCCTCCCTCCTCACCTCCTCCTCCCTCCTCCTCCTCCTCCTCCTCCTCCTCCTCCTCCTCCTCCTCCTCCTCCCTCCTCCTCCCTCCTCCTCCTCCTCCTCCTCCTCCTCCTCCTCCTCCTCCTCCGGGCACACGCTCACATGGATTAAGA